GATACAGTAGAACCTCGATTATCCGGCACTCAATTAACCGGCACCTCAATTAACCGGCGCACTCTCAAGCTATTGATTTTTTTCAAGAAACACATTTTATACAGACAAAACTTAAATACTCAGCGCAACTAACAAATTCATGCTTCTACATGCACGTCCAATTTTGCTTGTTGTTATTATTTAATCGCATATCATTTTCAGATTGAGTTTGTTTACATCACTCATTTTATAAACAATAGTTTGAAATAAAATGTTTGGTCGTCAATTTGATTTCTTCGCTCGCGACAAATGTCTGCATATCTTGTTTCCAATTGGCACACAAAAACGCAAAAGAACCGTTCTTGCAATTGAAACAAAAGCAATGCAAGCAAGTTGTTCTTTGCAACAATTCATTGAATGGTATGAACAACAGGATGAAGCCGATAAAGTTGACACACTGCTGTTAAGACGATTCAGAAGCTTCGCAACAATGAAAGCAGAAACGACTGCAGTTAAGCAAACCAAAATGACCGACTTCTTTTCGCAAATGAAAGCAGATTAAGATAAATGAAATTAAATTTCAAACTACATATTCACATTTGTTTTCAAATAAACCAATAAACATTTGCATTTCCTTATATTTTTTTAATAAAAAAGAGTTTTCTAATGTATTTTTACTTCAATTGTGTGTTAGAAGTCTTTTCAATTGACTTTTGTCCGTTATATATATGAGAAATGTAAGAATTTGTTTCAACTCGATTAACCGGCGTTTTCGTTATCCGGCGGAGGCTCGGTCCCGTGCCCGCCGGATAATCGAGGTTCTACTGTATTGATATTTTTCCTTTCACTTCGATTTTTCCCTTTTTTGGTTTTTTATTGCTAGGTTGATACATGTTATGCCATTTAAATAACTCGAATGAGCTTCAAAAATGCTTTCTTTTCTTAAAATGCTTTTCGAAACAAAAAATTCAAAAATGCTTCCGGCTTGAGAGTTGACTTTGGGAAAGATATTTTTCCATTTGATATGAAATAATCACAATAAACAAATTTAACGTAAAAATAACGAAAAAAAACCCTCTGTATAGAAGTAAAAAAATGTAATGCCTATTACCTATTACTTTCCTATTACTTTTGTAAAAAAAATTACCTATTAGTAATAGTAATAGGTTCACCATGTCACAAAAGTAATAGGAAAAGTAATAGGTAAATGTAATAGCCTATTTTTGTAATAGCCTGTAATAGTAATAGGAAATAGTAATATATTACTTATTACTTTACTTCTATAACCCTCTGTTATGCGAAAATGATTTGCACAATTTATTTGTAATACCAGAACGTTCGATAAATATGGTGTGAGAAAATCGCGGAATGCAGCCGGAATTGTGGCGTTAATTCAAGCACATCACCTCGACAGTCAATCTCAGCACATCGCCTCAATTTGTGGAGAGTTAGTGAGTTGCATATTTTAATCAAAAACGCAATCAAGCCGATTAATGCATGTAATCATGATATTGAATAAACGAAGAATAAATAACAAATAAATGGTGTTTAACTGTAATGTGACTTACCTCTCGATTATCATATATGTGTTGCCATTGTAAATCGTTTCACAAAGACTGTGCATCTATTCAGATCGACTATGAATTGAATTAGTGGGTGTGAACAGTGTAATTGGTTAACCGGTGTACATGTCCGAAGCAGAAAATGTTGTTTGATCTTGACCAACCAACCAATCGACGCCGTGTGCAACCGAATATAGCGCTGTTCCACTGAATTTTGAAGGAGAACAAAGAAATTCATATAATTTGACGGAATTCATGAATGGGATTCATGTAAATGATAACACATTTTATAATATTTAATGAATTTATTCGATGATTATTGTAATTTTTGCACCGTCTCCGCATCAATGAATGACTCGAACAACTTTTTCCACATTTCGTTTAGTATAAAATAGATTTTCCATCGTAGTGAAGTTCATTCGTCGACGACATTTGACTAGCTTCAAGTAAAACAAAACGCAACGATTTAAAAGATGAAAATTGTTTTGGTTTTATTCAGTGTAGTGGGTCTCAGCTTTGCAGTGTGTATTAAATTGATGTGCATTATTATTGGCAATCCATATTCAATTTGAATTTTTGCAGGCTTTAGACATTCCCGACCATTTAAGAGCCCCGTTGAAAACTTTGCGCAAAGCATGCGTAGCCGAAACGGGCGTAGAGGAAAAGTACATAGATGAAAGCAGACATGGACACTTGAGTGATGCACCTGGAATGGGATGCTATATCAATTGTTTGATGGAACATTCGGGAATGGTTGAAGAAGACGGTCGAATCCATTTTGATGACATTATGCACTTACTCACACCAGAAACAAGGGAAACTGTCATAAAAGTCGTGAATGAATGTCAAACAAAACGTAGGTGCTAGCAAACAAATCGAAAAAGAAACAAATCAGTTCGTTCCGAATTTAAATACGATACTTCATATTTCAGATGGAAATACAAGATGTGAAACCGCCTGGATGACTGTTCAATGCTATTATCAAGTTGCTCCAGAGGTATGAATTTGATCTATCCAAGCGGGAATATTTTCTATTTGAGATTTTTTCTGACTTTCAGGATGCTGAACTTCCATGATTCCACTACGTTCGGATTTATTCTTCTTATTACGATTTTATTATTTTATTCTATGATTTTATTGCATTATCCAAGCACAATTGAAATTCATCATCAATAAATAAATTTTTAACCAAATTACTTACTCTGTTAATGCATTGGATTTGATCGTGCGATGACAATGGTGCGAGTGCAAACGATCTTGTTAAACCCAATGGAGCCGTATGTGCTATGTTAACAATGTATTTCTTGCGTATACGAAAAATCATTTGAATCGCCTGAATGTATGCAAATTTCTTGAGTGTCAGAGAAATCGTGTGCATGATTTCTGTGTTAACAAAGCTGTGTTAGCTAAAAATCCGTTCGATGCCACCTCGCAGCCTAATTCTCCAATGAGTCATGATTGATTGAATCTACAGAAAGTGAATAACAGGCCGCGCTAGCGTCCTATCTAAATACATTATAATGAATAAGTACAAACTAATACATATGCATTTCTACTATGAATACGTTTCATGCTATGTGTTTTAATTTCATTTAATTTTGGAAATTCAAAAAAAAAAATATTTCTCGACAAATCATATTTTAAAACATCATTGCAATAAAAAAAAACTTCCAAGTAAGGATGAATATATTGATATTGAGTAAGAAAATTCGGTGAAATCGGTGAAATACTTGAATCAAACATAAACGTTTGAAAAACGTACGACGCGCGCCAAAGCATAAGTGATGTCAAAGTGTGTACAAAGAGTGAAGCAATAGTGCGTTTAATGCTATGTGCTATAGTGTCTCTGTTGATGTTGATCGCTGACGTTTATAGTGGTAGGTGAATAATTATGAATTGTTTTCAATCAATCGACCCTCATCTGGTTCACCTGGATTTTTAATCTGGTCCGAAAATCTCATTTTTAGCCATTTTAAATTATTTTGACCGTCGGAAAGTGATACATACCGAAGTTAGATTCAATCCCATATTTTTTGGAGATATTTTTGAAGCATGATGCACTTTAAACCTTAAACGTGGACAAATAGATTACTTGGATATTATTTTCGTCTTTTTCTTTGAAATTTTTTGTGGTTCGATAACCAAAATGAAATCTTATTTTGATAAAAATAACCCAAACGCGTCTCATTTCGATGCTGTAGAACTGAACAAGAAAATGCTAGAAGTTGTGACTCAACAGTAAAGTGTTGAATGGGCGAAATAAACGGAAATTCCATAGATTCCAACAACGGCAATTTCAAATTTGAGTGGATTATTAAGTAAGACTCGCATAGTGGCTGCGTAGACTCACCAGATAGACGAAGAAAAGAGCTGCTGTTTATTGGCATAGCATTGAGAGTCGGTGCGAGTCTACACACCAACAATGCGAATTTTTTCTGAATCACGACCACTCGCTTTGTTTTTGCCATACGCAACGAGTAAGCATGAACTAACATACAAGCACACACATACGCAAACAAATATGGTGTACAATGGGTATATAAAGGCCGTGCTCAGATTCAGTCAAATCAGTATTGTTTGACTACAAGTTCTTTGAGCACAAGTTGAATAAATCGTTGTGAACATTGGCACTAGGTGAAGCATGGACTCATCCATAAGGAATCATTACCGATAGAAAGAGGAATTTTGTCGGAATTTGGAACCGTCAATTTTGTGGAGGAAAAAATTGTGTGCGAAATGAAGCGTTGGCAAACAAAATTCGAGATTGAAGATCAAGATATTAAAGATGTTCTTGAATTCTGTCGTAAAAAATAGAATTTCCGTGAATATATCAAACTAGATAATGCAGAGCTAAAATTGCTCATGACATACAAGATATCTTGTGGTTGAAAAAGTCGAAATTGCACGTCAACTCTACGCTTACAATATTGAATTGAAGAAAGATAGAAAGTCTTCAGTTGATTTGTTAAAAGAAAGACTCGTCGCGACTGCATTTTGTGCACCTGCTCATGACCCAATTGTAAATAGTAGTCGCAATCGTAATTGAAAGCGTAATATCGTTCGTGTTCACGAATATTAAGAGGGTGGCATATTTGGAAGAAAGCGGTCCATTCGAGAAATTTGTGAAATTCGATTTGTAAAGAAATTACTCAGACACCATCAACATTAGTCGTACACTCAAATTGTTTATTTTTTTCAGTCGAATAGATAATTTTGAATAATCGATAATGTATAGTTTTGAAAACGTCCATGTTAAAACTGGTGACAAGTGCACACGCACTGATGATTCTATTGTCATAATAATTCTTTCCACTTTTTTCTTCAGATTCAAATTCAGTTCAATCAGTTTGCTGTAGTTCCATGTATTCTCTTTTCGTTATGAACATGAAGTTTATTACAACTAAAAGATATTTAAAAGCAACCCACATTTACCATGTTTCATTTATTTTTAATTACTTATCTTTGAAATTTTCGGATACGTGAGTTTTAAGGATTTTATCTTATCATTTGGCTCCTTAAAGTTACAGACGCCTTGTACACATACTCTACTTGTAGTTGCCTCTACCATCTTGAATCAAAAACGAAATTAAAGAAAAAACAAAGAAAGTAGGACGCAACTCGCCAATGTAAGTTGTAGACTCCACGTATTAAAATCGTACCATCAATCTACTCATTTGCGGTGTTCTTTGTATAATTGTATACATTTTGAAACTTGAACAACGCAAGTGCATGACAATGTAGAACAAAATGCATAACATATTTGAACAAAGTGGAAAAATGTAATAAAATTTGAGGGGAATGGAAGATCGTCTTCTGTTTTGAAGAATTTCATTGGTAAATATTTATTTGAACAATATTTCCATTACAAATGTATTATATTATCTATGAAACTCTTTCTTTTCTATCTCTTCTATTTCTTCTTCTCCTCTTTCGTCTTCCTCTTCTACTTCTCCCTCTCCGTACTCTTCTTCATCGTCATCAGGAGTGTCATAATCGCTGTTATAAACCGCTGGGTTGTCAATTTCGTCAATATCGTATAAACGACGATTTTCTGCTAACACTTTAAATGCCAAATATTCGAATTCAGTTGTATTTTCCAATACGATTGTGAAAAATTTCAGATATGGTCGTAATTTGGTTGAAAAATCATCATCCAACGTTGTGTCCGCATTTTTTTGCGATCGTATTGTTGTCTCCACATCTCCGGTCGATAGTAGATCGAGTATTTTGTCATTGTTTCCATCGAACAAAGCACCAAAACAGCCATCGTTGCAGTCTGGAATACCCCAGTTACTCACTAATTTATAATGTGATCCACGATATTCGAAACAAATGACAGTTGCATCAGGAAAATCGCTGCGAACACATTCTTCTCCAACACTTATATGCCAATAGGGTATGTTTGGATAGTTCGCATCAATTCGTTCAGAATCTATCGACTTTACAACGTATGTGTAACCGTCGTTCTTGAATATTTCTCTCAATTTGTCACTGCTTGCTTTTGGCATTTTTACTTTTTTTTCTAAATTGAGAATTACGTTCAATTGATCAGTTGTTAGTTATCGATGCGTTTAATGTGTACTGAAGATGTTCCGGTTATACTATCAACCTGCCTCCACTCAAACACAAGAACACAATACAGTCGAATGCAGCAACAATCGGCAACTATTTTGAAAATTGCGAAATTCTCTCAATTAGTCAAGAACTGCGACTCAAGATTGGAATTCGGTGAAAGAATTTCTGTTCTTTTTACATGTTTTGCACTTACAAGAATTCAATGTTTCACTGTACAATTTCGACTTTATCACATCCAGCGATAGCAGACACGAACAACTACAGAATTTACACCGAAAATTTAATCGAAATTGTTCTTCAGACGAATCAATTGTGCAAATTTGACGTGCGACGCGTTTGACGTTTGAATTGAAATAAATGAAGGCATCACACACGCATCCACATGTGTACAGTTGTAGCTGTTTTTATTCAAAACATTCAAACACATGGCATGTGTATTGGTATTGTAACACGTTTGTGTCTGTATTTGGCAAATACGATTTGCAAGCATTTCGCGTACTGCGTTCTCCATACACTGCAGTGTTGTTTCCATCTTGTTCGTAGCAAGCATATATGATTGTGGGGAATACGTGTGTATATACATTGGACTTCATTTGACGTATTTGCATTTGCCGGCGTTTCTCCGGTCCATTCCCCATATACCTGTATGTTCAGAAGCGATACCATCTTCACCATATCAGCTTGTCTCTTCGAATCGCTGAGGACAAATAGCAGGTAAATAGCAGGTCATAAGCTGTAGAGGCAAAAAAAAAACTTTTACTGTAAAGTAAAAGTAAAGTAACATTAATTTATCTAACGGATCGAAAAATTTAAAGAAAAAAAAAGTTGCAATTGAAATGTCACCATCACCAATATGAACAATAAATGGAGCAACACAGAACGACAATGCAAAACACATTCATTTGTATTTGAGACCTACGCTTCAGAAGTATTTGGATTGAATTTTTATAGTTTAACTAATGACAATCACGCGTATTATGGTACGCTCCATAAGTATATGGAGAATAAGTTTCCTCGGAATATTCAGTCAACAGCTTCCCACTAAACATATTCGTAATGCTCAATATCATGTTCGAAAATGTTGCCGATAAAAATTTCGTTTATTTCGCCCATTCAATAGTTCACTGTTGAATCACAGATAGCATTTCTTTTTTCAGTTCTACAGCATCAAAATAAGAAATATTTCGATTAGCTTTATCAAACAACAATTTCTAAGAAAACGAACGTCATACATTTGATGCATGGTCATAATTGTTTACATAAAACAACATCGCACCAATCGGACATTATTCACGCAGTTACGCTGCATTTGATGCAGAACAATGTCCAGTAGTATTTTTGCTTACATAATTTTGGTGAAATTTGATTCAACATTTAAACCAAAATCAAGACTATTGAAAATGCCGGTTTACTATGGCAGTTTTAAACCAAGCACGACTAGAGGGCCATTGTTGTTTTAGACTCACCAAGAACGCGACCTCAGTCACTGCGTATTCGAACTCTATCTTCAATTACTTGGAGCCATACGATTATTCTTTGTTCGTCATTCGTCTGTCCAATTCATTATCATTAATAACGATAAGAACGCAAACTAAATGCAATCGATGTGCAATTCAACTAAATCAAAGTTTCTTAGTTGCTTTTCAAATGTCGAACATTTGAACTCATTTATCAAATATTCCTCAAACTTTGATTATTGGGATTTTTTGAAGAAAGAAAAACTTGGAACTGATGTCGGAAATTCGAAATTTCAAAACAGTTTCAACTGACCAAGCAAAAATAAGTGATAGTCCATCAGCCGGATGAATCTTTTTGAACAATTTACATCGATGATTTTTTCATAGAAATTTTCTATTAGACACTCAGATTGTGTTTGATTTATTGAAATTTAGAGTTCAATTGTCAAATACATATGCTCTATTTGACGTCTTTATTCAATAAAATTAACCTATAGGTTTGTTAATTCAGTTGTTCGATTCATTTGACAGTCGATCGGTTTACTCAGTTGCGTGAAATGCAAATATAATTGCGATTCTGAATGAATATAAATAGAGTTGTTATCGCGGGCGTGTGTTTCAGTCTGATTGAACGTTTTGATAGCAGATGATCGAAATGTTAACGTTCATTTTCATTGTAATAATTTGTTGTGCCCGTTCGCATGCGATAGACTTAAATCACGTCACCAATGTGCTGTCAGAACCATCGAACACATTGAATTTTCTTGCGGGATTTACAAGTTTAACGTCAAGTCTTAGCAGTTTAACATCAGCTTTATCAAACGTAACAGGAGAATTGCCAGATTCAACTACTATTCAATTATGCTTTATGACAACAGTAAGTGTTTTTTTTTCTCATTAAGATTCATTGAATGCTGCAACGAATTTACTTTAATCAAATTGAAACGAATCATTTGAAATGAACCCACTTTAAACCGCATTTCGTTATTATTATCTTAAGCCTCAAATGATTACGTACTATGGCTATGTGGTGGTGGAATTTGAAGTAACAACGGACGATGGCTACATTTTAACGATATTCTACATGTATTCAAGTAAATATGTTAACGACACACTTACACCGATAATATTACAGCCTGGAATGTATGATGACACTGACTCATTGTGCATACATCCATATAGCTTGGGTAAATATGAATATCGTTAGAAGATTTATTTCTATATGTTATTAGAGAACAAAACTTTTTAAAATGTTAAGTTAAAGTTGATAAAATTGAAAACAGTGATAAAATTTGATGAAAACTCAAACTGTTGCAGCATATTATTTGGCCGATAGAGGATACAGGGTAGCTCTATACAATCCACGTGGAAATAGTTATTCACTTGATCATGAGACACTTGATTCGAGCATACCGGATGGGCCATATTGGGGATTCACCTGGTATGAAATGGGCATCTACGACTTACCGGCAACAATTAACAAAGTGCTGAGCATAACTGGAGCGAAACGAGTTTCATTGATCGGTCACTCGGAAGGAGGAACTATAATATTCGTTCTTCTCAGTGAAAGACCAGAATTTAATGGCGTAGTAAAATTTTTCGCATGCATGGCCCCATTTACATTTATGAAGAACGTTGGATTTCCAATTAACGCTGCCCTCAAGTTGGTTCATTTGTACAATGGCAATCGAAATTTTTCGTTTGTACAAAATACCCCAGCACAGCGAGCAGCATCGCTGTTTTTTTGTACGATGGCAAACGGAGAAATTTGTAACACTGTGATCAATTCCATATATGGACCAAGCGTTGGGCAAAGGGATGCTGTAAGTTGAAAAGCATGAACAACTAGACGGACTATTGAATTTTATGTAGAAATAATTTTTTGACTTTTTTTAATTCTCATCACCTACTGAATCTATTCATATTACCTATATTTTAGGCGAGCAATGCGCTGTTCCCATGCCATTGGCCAGCCGGCGGTTCGTTTGGTCAAATATATTTATTCAGTGATGAATATGCTAAGAAATACTTCGGACACATGAATGCTGATGGAAGCCATAGCGATTTTATTCTTCGAAATATCAACACTACGTTCGCGGTATTCTACTCATCAAATGATCCGCACACTAACCAAAACGATGTTGATTCCTTGTATAATAGCACACCAAGCGTCATTACAAAGATTTTTCAAAATATTCCACAATTCAATCATATTGACTTCCTTTTTGCTAAAACTGCTCCGGAACTAGTTTACAATCGAATTGTAACCATCGAGTTGTCCATCCCGTGAAAGAAGTGTCTATAATTAGTTTATGAACCATTTTTAGAGGTTTCGTTACACACCTTTAGTGATAAGAAAATGTTGAAATTTTAATTCTGATTCTGACATTAAAATTGCTTGATGAATGATTTATTTTGATTGATTTCGGCTGTACTTGATCTAAGCTGATCAAATGTTCGATGCGATTTATTGCTTGGAACATAGCGGTGATCATGCAGCACAACAATGTTGCTCAAACATTTTTATTTGAACTGGAAGACAATCACGAACTTGGAATCACAGACTCAAACGGAGATCAACTTTGCAAAGCTCTACTAACATTTTCAATCTAACTATTTGGTGGATCGAGTTGAATAAGTGTCCGATACAAGTTCAGTCTTCGATTATTTTATCGTTATTTATTGACGCCGTCAAAGACTAGCTGTGTAGGATTTATACTTGAATGAAACAAATACAGATTGTACAGCTTTTTGAACGCACAATTTACGTCTGGACAAATCGTGTTTAACGATGAGGTTTCAGTACGTTGAAAGATCGTTTTTCATGTTTCATTTCGTTTCAATAATGCATGAATCATTTGACCAAGTGCAAAGCAGACTTAAAATCTTTTATCAACTTTCCATGAGATGACACGCGTCCGAATGCACGTCATACAATTGCAAATTGTTGATTTGAAATAAATAAAAACAAATGCAAGATTGAAAAAAAGAGTAAATATCATGCGTGTGCTGCACATTGTTCCGAATTGAATGCGCAATTTTCGGCAATTTTTCGAAATGAAACAGAGAGTTTAATTCAGAGTGCCAGCTTAAAAATGTCATCACGCCTATTAATAGCCATATTTATGACTTATGTGATTATAAACCCCAAGGTGGAAAGCGTTCACTGCCATCCATGTTTATTTCAATCGGCTTTTCGTCATCATTAAACTCCACTTCGACCATATTCCACCACCGATCGCAAAAGAACAATTTTGATTCGAAATTACTCTGAAGTGCATTAAAAGGAAACGGCAATATTTCTTATCCGAGTGAACGATTTATGGTTTGGTTCAAGCAATTTTCATGGTCTATTTATACAATTATCTATTTAAAATTGAATTAAACGGAGTGAAGTCATAGGCAGTAATTTATAGCACCTTGGTAGTAATTAAAGTAATTAATTTACAGTGACTTGCATTGGAATTTGTGGTTTGGGTTTTAAATCAGAGAAATTGAATAAAATTCGAGCAACTTGGAATGCTTCAATCCTAAATGGAATCGTTTGAATAATAGGAAAAAACCTACCTCACTGTGAGACTGTCACAAAAAGACTGGCTGTTCACATTAACATATGCGCTATGCCGCATGGGATAAAACAGGCGAACCGACAAAATTGAATGGAACACCAAAAAGAAGTGAATATTTTGCTATCATGTCATTTGATTTCTACTGCTATCAGAAATATTTTTAGCTTTCGTACGATTTTGCGTTTATTTAACCCTTTGCTAGACCCTTTGATGCAAAATTTTTTGTTTTTGAATCATTTTGACATATGTTTTGTGCCACGATAAATAGAGAAAAACCTCATACTTAGATTTTTGAAAAATTGCGTATTTGTCGAGAAAATCGGAAAAGAGTCAAAAGTGTCAAATCACTATAAAAGCTTGAAAAAATTAAATTTCATAAAACTAATGATGCAGAAAGTTAAATTGATGTGTTTTGGTCCTACGAGTCCTAATTTGACAATTGAAAAGAATAAACAAACCCACAAGATAAGAGGAGGAAAAATGTGGAATTCTGCTATAATTTCGCATTTTTTTTTACAGCAGTACATGAACAGAAAAAACTTTCCATTCAGCCAGCCAATTGTAGCCAGTAAAGTATCAAATGAAAGCTAGTTCAATTCCCTACATTTGTTTCCAAACAAGAATGTAGAAATATTCAGTGGTTTCATAGCTATAGCGTCTGGCGTATCTGGTTACTTTAGGAACCAAAATGTGATAAAGGGTTAAGTCTAAATTTTAGCCATGTATAATAAAATAGTAACCAAGCTTATGGAATGTGCGTTAAAAACAAATATTTCCAAGTAATTTAATTTCAATCGATTTATTGGTTGAGGTTGAATGGGATGCTATTCAAATTGGCAACTGAAGTAGTCAAGCAATCACTATGAATGGAAGCCCATTCAATGTTTTGAGCGCTCCAAGAAACCATAGATCTCACTCATCGAATCAATACTCGATTGAATTATCACAACGTCGAGCTTGATTGCATGCAAGAGATGCGTAGGGAAACGTACATTTAAGGGGAAATTCCCCGATGATTACTCCATTTGAATAACTTAATTCTTTTCTTTTTTTGATTTGGATTTTTGTATTGTCTTATTTATTCATTTCATTAACACCGAATAATACGAGGGTTGCTGCATAAGTTTCTGGCCTAACCTATTTCTAGTGTTTTCAGATGCAATCTGACGATTCCATCGGAAATTTTGACATTTTTTAGGCTAAAAAACACTATAGCAGGGATTATTTTACATTACTGGGTGTGTCTAAGCCTCCTTTCCAAGGGATACCTGGAAAAATCGTAAATTTCAACAATAAACTTCATTTTTCGATATGGGAAAAATTGATTATTCTGTTGTAAACCACCTAAAAAACTTCGTTTATCCTCAATTTAATAATTTCTGGCTAACGAAACCATTATTTTATATTTTGGGCCTGCAAATATTCGATTGAATGAAGGCATGTCAAAAGGTGAAAATTCATGAAGTGACAGATAGTTCCCAGTTTTTGGCCCATTTTCTGAATATTTTCATTCCAAAAATGTCCGCTTTATTCAGAATTCATGGCACTATAATTCCAAAGTATAATAACAGTCATGTAAATCATTTTTTCCCAGAACGAAGCATTGCAATTTGCGAAAATCGTCTGTTTTTTCAGAAATAAGGAAAATTTTCTGTTATTTTCAAACACGATACTATCACTAAAACCTTCTGGGATGACATGCTATACTCATAAATGATAATTTTGTAATCTCTAGTGACGATTGAGGGTTTTTCAGCCTATCAAAATTGCATTATTGAGAGTTTGTAGGCCTATTTTTGTCCAAAACTCTTTTTTTTGGTTGAAAACACATTTGGAGGTTTTGACATGTGAAAGGCATTTACGTCACTAAAACCACATGTAATATTGACCTCATGCATGTCATACTAATGCCAAAGGATGCCCCAATCTCACTATAAGTCGTATGAGAATATTCCACCTTTAGGTTTCGCACAGCATCAATGTGTTCCGGCGTTACAGCTGATATTTTACGACTTTCCTGCGGACTCATTTTTGAGTGAGCTTCGTCAACATTTAAAATCGTTATATCACCTCTAAATACTTGGAATGGACCGAGTTTTATCACCCAAAGCGAATTTGAGGCTATCACGGCACTCTTGTTGAGTTAGTCCCTCTCAAAAATCGGAAAAAATCATTGCACTAAAATGTTTGCGGAAAAATTCAATTTTTTCATCAAATTGAAATATTCAAGCTCATAAAACACCACGATCCGTAGTGAATTAACAGTTGACGTCTGAGGAAACTTAGCTTAAAAAAGGTCAAACTTTTTGACTGACCCAAAGTTTTGCTTCGGAAAACACTAGAACTAGGTTAGGCCAGAAACTTAAGCAGCAACCTACGTACTTTGTAAGCGTTGTGTATTTTGGCGCAGCTATCAACAACCTGACAAATAAAAGCATAATTGGTCGCACAATATTTTTACACGGAATTGCTCAGCGTTTGATAATTTACGACAATACATCATCATCAAAGCCATTGGATTTACATTATGTGTATCTCTCTCTCTCTCTCTCCTCTCTCTCTCTCTTCATCACTCTTGTCGCAGAGTCCGACTGTGTGAATTCTAATTTATGCTATACAAACAATTTGATAAGGAAGCCAAACTGATTTCAGTGCTGTTTGTGTGCCGAACTGTATGACGAGAGAGAGAGAGGAGCGAGAGAAAAAAGAAAAAGAGAAATAGAGAAATAGAGAGAGACAGAGAGAGACACAAATAATGGAGAAGTACGCACGATGTCTAAGTTGTAGCCCGAAAAAAATGGCACCTTATCACATGCAGCTACCGCAACTATTATCACAAGCAAGCAACGTGCCAGCCAAACTTGAATCGCTTCAGAACGATTCAGAAGCGAGCGTGAGATCAAAACGAATCAAGCTACAATCAGGCACTTTCAATCTAGTATCAAGTTCGGTTTTACGTTCTTCGATTTTCAACCTGAAAGAATTGCTAGAATGGCCATATCATCGAGTGGTTTCAATTCGGATTTTGTGGCGGTTTTTTTGAGTGAATTACTTGGAACGGCATTGCTTGTGTTCTTGGGATGTTCGAGCTGCCTCAATTGGACCGGAACTGCGGACACTCTTCAAATTGTGCTGAGCTTTGGCTTTGCCGTTCTGATATGTGTACAAATCTTCGGGGCAGTTTCTGGGGCACATATAAATCCGAGGTAATTTTACAGGTCATAGAATTGATTAAATTTCCAGCATGAATGCATCACTGTTCAATTTCAGTGTCACTGTTGCTGCACTGGTTTACAAACTCATCGATTTTAAGGTAAGCAGCTTTAGGGATTAGAAACTTTATGAAAAGATTATCGAATTTTTGTTCCATATTGAATAACTCAAACCAAATCAAACGAAAATAAATTTCAATTTATTCATTTCAAAGTGAATTGTGTTGAGTTTAAAGTAATTTTTTGATTCAAACTATTTTTTTTTTACTGTTTACACATTTTAGACGGCTTGCGCCTATGTGGTTGCTCAGTGCTTGGGCGCATTCATGGGCCATGGCTTGCTTGTCACTCTAACACCAAAAGATATCCTCGAGAATACTGGTGCATCGTTTTGTGTTACCAAACCGCATTCGTCTGTGGCATTACCACAGGCATTCGCCATCGAATTCCTTGCAACAGCCGCACTTATTTGGTTCTGCTGCGGTGTCTGGGATCCAAGAAATGCCAAATCTCAAGACAGTGTACCACTTCGTTTTGGATTAGCCGTTGCTGGGCTCGCTTCAGCCACTGCAAGTGATTCTTGTTTTATGGATTAGATTTTTGGACACGACGTCTATTGCTGATCGTTGATTCATTAAATTCATTCATAAAATATTATTGTTTTTTTCATCCATGGAGAAAAAAACTTTCTTTGCGAAAAAAAAAAACGGTTTGGAAGCAATTATTCAAAAGAGTTAGTATTTAGAACGAAAAAATCATATCGAAAAGAACATTCGTGACGGAATGTCAAAGGAAAATAAACTCTCGACATGAAGTAAGATTGTAAATGGAAAAAAAAACGCGAAGAGAAAAAAAGGAATGAAAAGATTAAAAAAATCAAAAGAAACAAAAATCTGGAGAAATCAATTTTAGGCCAATTTTTCATCAAAGGAACGAATGAAGTTTTAATTCTGTTTGTATTGCATTTTTAGTGTCATTTCACTGGCGGTTCATTCAACCCCGCTCGCAGTTTGGGCCCCGCAATCTGGAATGGTGATTTTGATTTTCATTGGGTAAATATTTGTTCGATTTTTGTTAAAATAATTTTGAATTTCTTGCTGTTTTCATCCGTCTTCTTGTTAAATCTATTAAAATCGGATAGATTCTCAATGAAAAAGTGAAAATTTGTCATTAATTTTACTAAAAGTCAAGATATTCAATGACTTTTATACCTAATTTATTTCAAACGTTCGATTTTTAGAAGAAGAAAACGATGAAATGTCCATTTTTGGAAGAAAAAACCGTCAACCTTTTTGAAAATTTTGTATGAAAAGTTAATCAAATTCCAAGCAGAATCTTCAAAAAATCGATCGTTTGCGAAAAAGGCTCGAAGTTCAATCAAAGAAACATAGTTTTATTCCCCATTCCTGAATTATTGATGTTAAAAACCGAACAACTTTCCTTTTCTTTTATTCAAACACACAGCTGTATTGGGTGGCTCCATTGTCAGGTGCTTTGGTTGCATCGGTGATATACCGGTACGTGTTCTATCGTCAGGTGATCGAAGCCGAGAGCCAAGACTATAGTTACCGATTGGATAATCTGGGCGAAGCCAACGATAAAGTCTAAGTCAATGGAAATTTACTCAACGAGAATCCAGCCTACTTGCAACCACAAACAAAATTCAAATAAAAAAATCAGTCGATAATTTATGTTAAACTCTAGGGGGATTTAACTACGTGAAAACTTGTAAAAAATGATATAAACGCGCACGAAATTGTTACATTCACCAGAGAACTTGCATGATTCCACTCAGTTGACAAGTTCCGTATTAAAACAACATGCGCGAACGCGCGCGAGTTCGTGTGCAAACTTGTAGCTGGACGACGCGCACACATCAGTCGTTCCATTTATTATATCTGGATTAACTTTTCTTCAACACTTTCTCCAGCTCTTTAAAAATATTTCCTTTGTCCATTTTATAATTATATAAATCTTTGAACTTTTGGAAAGGATGTGAAAAATCTTTATACACGTAAACAACCGATTTTTAGCTTGAAACGCGTTTTAATTGTCAAATAACAACTTGAAAAACGCGCAAAACCATAAACAAACTTGTGTAAACTTGTGACCGTGCGCGTCAGTACGTACAAGGAACGCGTCGAACTCCCGCGAATCAAGCAAACTGGCAAAAAACATGCTGAACTCGTAAGAGTTAAATTCCCCTAGGTTAAACTATAATAGTTGAGATTTTCCATTCGCTAAATTAAACGAACGCAATTTGAATTGAAAGAGATGTTAAATGGAATTTACATTTTTACTCGAATAATGATAAATGAATCGGTGTGTGAATGAAACCCATTTGGGTTGATACATACACGCGTCGAGTGTGTGTGTGATTTATGGGAATAAATCTGTGATCATTAACAAATTTGAAATGAGCACTAATAACGCGGGCCAAGCGAGAGTTAGGCTGCAAACAACTGATAAATCGGCCATAAATTTGCGACGATAACAGCGTTTTATTACAACATTCTTATCAGACGCAATTTAACAAACTGTCATTCATCATCAGTCAGTCAATCAAAACCTAACAAATAACTTGCCACAACATTTGATGAACTTGAACCATTTTTATCGTCATTTTTTTTTTACTAATTTCATGACAAGAAAACTTGGATTAAATCAAAAATTCTACTTCCTGACGAAATTTAAATCCAATGAATGACTTGCAAGAAAAAAATTGGCAGAAAATCCCCTGAAGAATTCGTTTGTTCTCTTCAAAAAGAGAAAAAAGTTTGTTTGTTCAAAAATACCGGTGGCGCCATCGCTGAAATTATGACACCAACTATTGCGACACATCGCCTTGACTGTCACATAACAATAATAATAAAGCATGAGCGCTAACCATAACTTGCACCGTCAAATTTACGATCAGCAATGATTGTGCGATGAGAAAAACAATTGAAAAGAAAGTCGATTAGAATTTGGTATCGAGAGTACTTGAGAGGGTCGAATTCAAACGGTGACCAGATTTTCGTTCAAAATTAATGCGCAAGCTGTACAGTACATTTGCAAACATGAAATTGCTGGTCCAATCAATCCAACCAACTGGCAAAACACACTCCGGCACCGTGATTTTTCTGCATGGATCAGGTTTATTCGAATGAATTTTTTGGATCGAAATTTTCGGTTTTGATTTTTAAGCAAAGAAAAATTAATGTCGTTTTTCTGTTTTTTGATATCAGGTGACACGGGCAGCAATCTTGTGGAATGGATAAGATTTCTCATAGGCAAGGACCTACAATTTCAACATCTCAAAGTCATCATACCCACTGCACCAGTTCAACCGTACACTCCGTTAGACGGCGAAGTAATTTATATGCAAATCAATCGACTTTGACATTTTCAATTCATTTGCAATTTTCGCTTTTTTCTCTGTTTGTTTCGAGAATATGGACACAAAATTTAACTGTACAGTGTCATTACGAACTAGAATTTAACACATTTTTGTGCTTTCACTACTTCTTGGTTTCTTTTTTTACTACCGTTTTTATTGTAGCTCATTTCAGTACCTTTTTTTTTAACGTAGCTTCAAAATAGAATGTATTTATTCACGAATAATTTTTTTTTACAGCCGTCACACGTTTGGTTTGACCGACTTGCAATTAGTAAAAAGGCCAAAGAATGTCGCACATCAATGGAGGCTGCCTATGAATATGTCAACGAACTTATTCAAACGGAAAAGGAAAACGGAATTCCACCGAATCGAATTGTTATTGGTAAATTATGTGCATTTTTTTTAACGTACATTTCTTTTCTTTTTCGTATTTTTTCACACTTCTGGAATTTTTTCCCGCTTCGTCTTTTTTATCAACAATATGTTTCTCTCTTCTTTTATCGGCAAAAGAATTTATTCTAAAATTAGCCACAATTAAATCGAAAATTCTGAAATTCGCAGAGAAATTGGATTGTGTATGAATAATTATTTTCTCTCTACGGAACATACTTCATCGAAAATGATTTGGAAAACATTGAATTTTTTCACCGCAAAATAATTCGAGAGTGATTTAATATTCATCGAATATTATGAATGGACTCGAAAAGCATTTTCCAAAGAAATTGTCGTCAAATTGATGTGTGAAAATTTGCAAAAATTGATAAACAATTTGACGCGTCCTTTGAGCAAATTGTAAATATTGATTCGTGCTATTGAGCTTTCAGCTCAAATTTAATTCAAATTCAATTTGCGATGTAACCAACGAAAGGTAATTTTGTGCCAAAGCACAACTTCCTTATTCCAATAGGTTAGTTTTTATTTTAAATTGCATTTTTTCGTATTAATCCATATACGTATTAATCCATCTCATTACGCGAACCGCGAAAAAAGTTACTTTCGTGCCCTAGTGCAGTTTGTGTCATTTGGGAAGAGAACATTCAGAGAATTCATGGGAAACGGAAAATTGGAAAGCCACCCGATGGAAGCAACGAGCAAATAATTTTCCAAAAATACTTTACTTTGCAAAAGAGTAAAATCGAAAAAAAATAATTGAACAAAATACAAATAAATCGTGAGCCATTTTTGTTATATTCTATCAAATATTTCCATACCACGACTGCGGAATTGGCAAGAGGAAAAACGGTTATCACACTAGCTTGGATGAAGTATTTTATCATTTGGAAATTCTTTATTTGTCGTTTTTTCATATGACCGAAAATGAGAGAGAATTTTTGTATTCGTTAATATTTTGTTGAATTAATTTGATTTTTTCTGCAATTTGTCATACTTTTTTTTTTAATTTTCTATTGAGTATATTTTTAATTCGATATATCAAGTATCCTGATAATGATATAAAATCAGAATTATGTTTCTCAATATATGCAAATTAATTTTCTTCCAGGTGGTTTTTCAATGGGTGGTGCTTTGGCACTGCATACAGCATTGCATGTGAATCGTGAGTTGGCCGGTGTATTCACGTGTTCGTCATTTTTAAACGATGATTCATTGGTCTTCGAATCATTGCGGTCGAATCAACAAAATGCCGGCTCCTTGCCAAATTTACTGATGTACCATGGTGAACGTGATTCGTTGGTGCCCATGTCTTGGGGCAAAGAGACATACGATGAACTGCTTAGCCTTGGTGTCACCGGTGAATTTAAAACGCTCAAAAATGCACTACACGAACTGAAAGCCAATGAATTACTAGAAATCCAAGAATGGATTTCAAAATTGGTGCCACCGCTGGAGAGTGACATCCAAAATAAATTGTAGCACTTATTCAATTAACTGCTGCTGCATGATATTAGACAAAATTACGAAAATAAAGTGGAGACAGGCAGATTCGCTCTAGGGGAATATCACGCTTAAATTATTTCAAATATTGCAAAAAATCCAATTTATCTCTAAAGAATCTGTCGTATGAAATATGGTGGATATTTGTGAATACGGCGGAATATTGTGGATTTTTGTGATTATGAATGATATTTAAATGTATTTATTCGGATTTAATGCAAAAAATCTCAAATATCTCCAAAATCCACAAAAATCTGATTTATTTATTCGAAATATTCGAAAATATGTCATAAAATTGATGTTTATTTCAAATATCTTAAATATCTCACAAGATTCAGGAGCGTGATATTCCCCTAGGATTCGCTTATTCTAACAGATCTGGAATTTTATTTTTAGCTCATAAAATTTATTTACAACCAAAAAATCGATAGAATAAATCTTGAATAGACGCAACGAATGCAGTTTTATTTGTAGATTTTTTTTTAAAATCTGTAACCACCAATGGAAGTGCGCACTGTGTATGTAAACAAGTTCGAAATGTTATAAAAACAGTTTGAATTTCAAACTTTGTACTTTGACAACAGAACTTCAGTGATCAAAGTGAGTTAGGGTTATCATTTCGAATACATTACAATTTCAATGCGGAAGCAAGACGAATCCCGAAATAAATCGTTTGTAGTGATTTAAAAACACTGATTATGACCTCAACGATCGAAATAGTTTGAAAAAATTTTATCACGCTTCTGTACACCAATGCAATCGAAAAGTGAATTCAGAAAATGTCCAAACACGACTATCTTCATTCAGCTCAAATGAGCTGAGCTCATATTCATTCAACGACTGAAATGAAATCTCCGTCGAAAAAAGCCGAGAAAAAAGGTTGTTCGTAAATCTCATTGTAAAAATCTCAGAAAACCCAAACAAATCGTAAGCCTAATTTCAATAAACAAAGTTCCTAAAAAAAAGTGGTCGCTTGAGCAATTGCCAATAATTTAAAAACAGTGTAAACTGAAGATTAAACTCTCGCTCACGATTGAATTGAATTATCTCTGGCTGTGTAAATAAAACTGGGTGATGAAATGTGGATTTTGGTGTGAAGCCAAGCGCGTACAATTTGAAATGCTATTATTTTTTAGTGATTAGTCGCGCAATTGACGGATGTTATATACTACTACTCATCTACACATGCACAAAGCCATCGCAAAATTCGTTCTACAAATAAAACGGAGGACGACGGCGGCGACGGCACATAGTGAATCAAAGATATGAAGTTCCTTTGTCGTCTTGCATTGAGATTCAAATTAGTTGTGTCAGCTAACAATTTAAATTAGAGGCAAACAGAATGGAATGAGTGCGATAAAGAAAACGCGCCTCGTGTATATGTCCAGTGAATGGTGTGTATATACGAATCATGTCCGTTGAATTTTGTCTAAATGAGAGATAGGCTAAGTTGCGATTGCTGCTGGTAGACAGAGCAATAGAGTGTCGGACGAATAAATTCAATTGATACGCCGAAAACAACGGAGAGTCACAAAAAACAGTACAACGCAAGCAAATTGAGTTAAAAAAAATAACCAACAGAGTCAAATGCTTGTGAACCATATGAATGAAAAAAATGCGGCAACAAATGCAAGTAGTGGAAGTGTAGAAGAGAAGGCACATAGAGCGCGCACGGAGTTGGTGTTTATATTCCGTCATATGCATGCAAACAGGCGACAGTTACTCCTCATGACGAGCAGCTACCGCTGCTGCTGCACAACGCGTAAACATATGTTTTATGTGTCTATCGATGTACGTGCGTATATTCCAATATAGAATTCGCTTTTGGCAACACGAACATGCGCATTCGAATCTTTGATTACGCTGTGAATATACACTGTTTGACACTCGGTAAATTGGTCGATGGGGAAGAGAACGAGAGTGAATGAGAGATGATTTTATTTTCTGTCCCACTTCGTTGTTATTTCGATGTGTGTTGTGTTTAATATGAATGTTGAGCTCCGTACAAAATGGACCTTTGTCACATCACATCATTTGCATTCACTCCTTACAAAACAATCAAACCAAATACAATCTCAATACTCAAGCACATCGCTCGTGAACCATTATACTCATAAATATAGTTGTTGTTTTTTTTTTCATCATTTTTTCCTCGGTTTTTAAGATATAGTAAATAGAGTTGTTATTCAGTGTGAATTCATACAAGAGAAATGGTGACAGTGAAACAAAAAAAAAACGGGACGCAAAAATGAGATTCGATTTTGTTCTGTAAGAGCATAAACCAGCGACAGAGATAAGGAGTAGCAAAAACATTTCAGTACCGAACGCACACAAACAAAAGACGACAAACAAAAGACCGGGTGTCAAAAGAAAAACGGGGACAATTCATTCAAATCTAATATTCCAAAAAGGGCATAAAAGTGATAATTCCAAAGAGATATATCCTCTGAGAGCGATTTGATACCAGAAGCAAGCGCATTTTTTTGGTTCATCAGAATCCAACGAATGAAATCGAAAAATCGAACAAAAGGCGAAGCATGAACGAAAAAAGAACAGAACCTACTACAGACACACACACATAAAATGAACCAAGCCACATGAATGAAAGGAGCATTATGGTTGACCCCGTTGCTTTTACCGATGACTTCCACTTCAATGTTCATTTAAGTCAATCGACACACTGTGGCACTAATTTCTAGTCGTTGGAAGTGAGTGAATGTGAGAGTGAAGAAAAAATAGACGCGAAATGACGTTGGGACAAAAAAAAGAGAACATTTTAAAATACCGCTAATCGTATTTCATATTTCAAACGATGAATTGTTGTTGTATTGACAATTGACCGAAATAAAAATAAAAATGAGCAACTAAAACACTAACTGATTGCAACAATAATGTAAACAACCAATTTCAGTGTGCAACGTCAATTGAAATACTCAGCAAGCCAAAGTTCCATAGAAATCTTCACCGTTGTGTGTCATTGTGTTTTTTTTTTCTCCCCCGTCGTCGTCGTAGTCGTTTCTGTTTTGTGACACAAAAAAAATTGCAAACATCGCACAAAAATTTTGCGCGTACTCTACACTCCAGATATGCAAACTTCAATCAAAATTTAGTTTCGTTGACAAAACGATATCAAATAAATAACTGAACATTTAGTCAGCAACATCAAGTACGATAAAACTCAACCGAATTGCCGCAATAATTGATATTACTCCTCATAAACAGAACCAGAATCAACGCAACATGAGACATTTCCTTCGATAAAAAAAAAAAATTCAAACTGACCAACGAATTTTTGCTTTCGTTTAAAATGAATCAGAGAAATGAAACGGAACTTTCAGTTCAGTATGAAATTCGTAGTTTAATACACCCGACGTGATAAATAATCCACACGAAAAAGAACAATTCAACAACTCATGTGCTCATGAGTTTATCATCAAAGGAGTGTTCGCGTTTTGGATTTGATAACAGAGAAAAATCACAGTTTTTGGATATAACTTTTAAAAAAAGGTCCACTTTTTTGATGTTGTGTCAGGAAAAAAATAGACGAGATTTGATTCCATTGGAGAAAAATCGAGTTTTTTCATCGCATTTCTTTTTTTTTGCCGGAATTTATTGATCAACATAAATTTTTTAGTGAAAATATTGACAAATTTAATGGAATTTGAAAATGAAACAAAACCTACTGCGATAAAAACATGGACAAAATGTGTTATCACACTGACTTTTTGCAGTGAATAAGTAGAAAAAAGATATTGATATTCAACAAAACCAAAGAAAAAGAATAAGTAAAACTCGTGTGTTCGGAAGTATTTGAATTTGGCTGTGTCTTCCGGTTCGATCGCTATTGTTGTGAGTGAAAGAGAGAGAGAGGGAGAGAGAGAGAGAGAGATATAGAGCAAGGAAGAGAGAGAGGAAGAAAGAGGAAGAGAGTGAAATGCAATTGCCTACATTGAAAATTGCATTTTACCGGCGAGAATTGAATAATGTAATATTCCCCTAAACCTGAATGAAAAAAGCAAAACAAAGCAAAACGAAAAATTGTGATATTTCAAACCGAAACTAAATAGAGAAAGAAAAGCTATAGGATAATCAAACTAAAACAAATTTACAAAACATTGAACGCAAAAGAAGATGACAAAATACACGTTATTGGTTGATAATAAATCGTCGTATCGCCATGTAGCTGGATGGTTTCCGATAAAGAATGGTCCGATGTTTGTGTTGTTTGTGATTGGTGTGACGATTGGGGTGTCATTTGCCCTGATGTATACTCAATACGAGCGAATGGTGAGCAGTCAAACGCATCAGTTGCATTTAGAGCGTTTAAGTATGTTAGCCGATGAGGAAATGATGCATGCAACAGTGAATGAAAATGCCACCTCCATCAACACCAATGCAAAACATTCGGCGGCAGCAGCAGGGGCGACAATCGTCGGTGGTGAAGATGTGCATGCCATTGAAAATCGCACCGTATCCATGCAGCTGTACAATGATGTACGGATATTGTGTTGGATTTTAACAACGCCAAAAAATCATCGCACCCGTGCAATTCATGTGAAACGAACATGGGGCCAACGATGCAATAAGCTGATATTTATGAGCACGCGATATGACAAATCACTTGATTCTGTTGCGCTAAATGTGAGCGGCGACAATCCGGCTGTGACATGGGGCAAAACAAAACGTGCTTTTCAATACGTTTATCAACATTATCGCAACGAAGCCGATTGGTTTTTAAAGGCCGACGATGATACTTACGTGATTTTAGAGAATTTACGCTATTTTCTATATGCATACTCAACACAAGATCCCATTTACTTTGGTTATAAAATGAATGAAGCAACGGCATTGAAACGTGGCTATTTTTCCGGTGGTGCTGGCTATGTACTCAGTCAAAATGCATTGCATCGATTTTTCAATTTGATGTCACATCGATCGACTGTGTCGTCATCACCGTCGCATACACCAAATTGTCGCATTGACATTGATAGGGGTGTTGAAGATCTGGAAATGGGCAAATGCATGGAGGCGTTGGGCGTTTTAGCCGGTGATACACGTGACGAAATGAAACGTGGACGCTTCTTTCCCAATACACCCGAAACTCATTTGATACCCGGCAAAATTGATACGGCACAATTGAAACACAACTGGTATCAATCGGTGGAAGGACACTGTTGCTCCGATAATGCCATCTCATTTCATCACATACGACCCGAACAAATGTACGTACTGGACTATTTGATCTATCATCTGAGACCGTATGGCATTGTACCATTCCCACAACCGCTTCCGAAAAAAGTGAATTTCAGCGAAATTTTCGCACAATTAGACGACGAAAAACCCGATTCAGCAAATTGATCAAATCAATTGATAGGCATTTTTGTTTTCCTTTTTTTTACTACCAAAGACTTTGTAAATACACAACATTGCAAATTGATATTAGGAAACATAAATGAAAAGAAATTTTTTTCCATTCTCAAACTTTGGATATGTTTTATTTGATAACTTTGTCGAAGAAACCCAACAAAATATTTTCAGAATCCAATTTATAGGTTGAGGCGTTTCAGCGCGCAATTTCAAAGCCAATCGATATGTAAGTAATGCACTGGTAGAGGACCACATTGAAGTACACGGTAAGTATACTACATGGATGTCTCCACTTAAAACTTTTGCAAACGGAGCGCAAAGCCATTGAAACTCAGAATGCTCGATTTAGCTGCTGGAAAATGCTAAACGATGAAGTTGAATCGGTTGATTTGGGCAATCGAACTTCTTCTCTTAACATTATTTTTATGATGGCCATTAATGACAAGAAGTGTTCATTGTTCAAACTACGTTTCTCAAAAGCAGCAATCATTTTAAGACCATTATTACCTTCGACGTTTGGTCGGCACTGATCTCCTCCTCTAACAATGTTCCTTCTCCAACACACTCTATCGAGATTTTGAGTTTACTCATTCCAATCATATTACCGTTAATTCAAATCACATTTACCAGAAACCGAACTGTTACTGTTCTCGAATTCTATCTTATGGATTGTTTGCGTCAGCATTCCAATTTAACCGGGGTGAACAAAACTCATTCATACCCTATATATGGACCAAACTCTTACGTTCCACGTTCAGCAAAAAATACTTAATAAATTTACTGCTTTTGAGATAAATTGATCTATGTGATAAAATTCACTGTTCTCATGTGTCTTGCTGTTTCTCAACCTGGTTTCAAAGTCAACATAACCAATTGCTACAATTCGAACATGAATATGAGCATTCGTCTAACGAATTTGCGACAAAAGCTTGTATAAGAGATAGTCCAAAAATTCCAAACCAACTCCATCATCTTCAGAATCAAATATAGTAAGTCTAAAACAGGGCGTTAATTTCAAATGCTCTTCTGACGACAGTTTTTCTTGTAAAATGTGGATTTTGACGGCATGCAAAGCTAATGCCTGAATTGCAGTAGGTCAAAAAAGCGTTTTTGTAAGAAGGAGAAAAAAGAATGCAGATAACAACAATTCTATCTTCATAAAAAACAACACGATAATTGTCAGTCATACTGAGATAATCACGATATATGCATGCCTATGCAGTCGGAGTTCTTAATCCATAGGGTTCTTGTTTCTTTACTTGAAAAAAAAAATCGCTCGTTCTTGTATATCTACAGAAAGAGATGAAATAAAAGTTTTATGGCTGTCGTCTAATTTAGCAACAAAGTCACAGCTGAAACACGGAAGGACGCAGCCTATGTCACATTTGGAAGCGTCTTAGCCGTACAGCAAAAACAAAGATAAATTGAAGAGATAATAACAATATTTTGCCGAATAAGTGGCTCAAGTAGACAAGTGATAACGACACAAATTGATAAGCCGATGGTTTTTTTTTTCGTCATTCAAATCATATGTCACGATCGTAGTGCGCTCAACGCACGTTAGTTGAACACGCGTAGTTGAACAAAAACACATTACTCAATTCCACTTCCAGTGCCGCAGATCATTCATCAATTGGTATCAATTCAAACTAATAAACAAATGTTGATCTCGTTGTTTCGTTGATTTGAATTCGATTTTGTTCGAAAATAGGCGATAAAATGAACTATCAAGTCAACCACCGGTTGTGTTTATAAATACAAATTCCGATTATTACAGCAGTAAATTGTGAGTCGATCGATTGATATTGTAACTCGAGTGGAGAGAAAAAAACGATCGATTTTTTTCGGTTTTTCAAGAATTTGAGAAGGAGCTATAGCAAAAATAAAGATTTGAAATAGCAGTTAAAGGAAAGAAAGTGTCGAAATTGTGAGAAAAAAAAAACTGTCTCGAAATGGAAGAGAGTGCAGGATTTCATCGAAGCTGTGATAATGTGAATGTATCAAAGATTGTTGAATGTAAGTCACTCATATCGGAAGCGAAGCCGAATGGAAAACACACTGCAAAATGTCTGGAAGCACACATCGACCAACATCATGTGGAATGCCAACCGAGTGATTCGTATAAAAATAGTATCAAATTTAGTGCCGCTTTGCCACAGGTAAAAACACACGTGTGATACATGCATTGCATGCATGTATTGATCCAAAGCGACCCAAACAAATCGATTTTTATGCAAACAAACGGCAGTAAATTGCATACCAAGCGATTTTATTGAAATTACACTTTTATGCGATCGTTCGTGTGACTTATTTTCTTTCAACGTCAAAAACAATCACGTAACGATGAATTTGGGTTTTGAAGCCAGTCATGTGTGTGATTCCCGATTCAAAATGGTAAAATTTAGACAATCAAAATTCAAGTAAAAATGCAAGAAAAATTGTGTTGTTGCACCAATTTTAATCAAGAATTTTCTCAAAAAAAAAAAGCAAATTGATTAGTGAAAGAGAGTTTGCCTCCAAGAATTTTAGCTCATGAAACGTTTTTTTTTCTTTGTCGGTATCTCGATTCGCCGGTGATTCAGGTGTTTTTGTTTCAAGTTCATGCATTGAACAATGGGATTCTATCGGGCAAACAAACATAATACTGATCGTATTTGCGTGTTTTGTAAGACTTAAGTTCGAATGTATTTTGTCTCTCTCTCTCTTTATTAGATAATTGCATCGTGTGCAGCGTATCTAATTGTGATTCAAGCGGGCATTAATATGTCATATTCCGCAATTCTACTACCACAACTCAATCAAAGCGACAGCACAATCCACATAAATAAATCGGAATCCACATGGATCGGTAATGCATACCTTCATTTCATATCACTTCAATTTGTATTTTAATTCGGATGGTTTTTGTCTTGTTATACAGCGAGTTTAGTGACGATATTTTTGCCAATCGGTTCATTTATCGTTGGGCCACTGATGGATAAATTTGGTCGCAGAAAAATGGCTCTACTCACGTGCATACCGTTTTTTATCGGTTGGATGCTGATGTACATTGCCACCAACGTGTGGTTCATCTATGCAGCGAGAATTATTGCCGGCATCGGCGCTGGTGGGTATTTGAATGCTTTTTTTTTTCTTCAAATTTCGTTTTGGTTGAGTGACAAAAAGTGGAGAAATAAGTTCTTTCCGTGGACTTTTTTGGAGAGAGAAAAAATTCGCGGTGAAAACTCTTTATGATCATGTGCGGTTAAAAGTATGCTTAAATTTTTCATTTCAGGCCTAACGACAGTATCGTTAATATACGTAAGTGAAATCTCACATCCGAAACTTCGGCCGATGTTACTTGGCTTCAACAGTGTATTTGTATCGTTGGGCATTCTGTTAACCACGTTACTGGGCCAATTCTTCAATTGGCATACAATAGCGGCGATATTCAGTGGTGCAACCATTCTTACATTCATTTTAATGTTTTGTATCCCGGAATCACCGTACTGGTTGGCTGCATTCCATAAGAATCGCAATGATGACGTTGAAACGACCCTACGATGGATTTACAAATCGAATAAGGTATTTGCGAAGTACGACTGTGAATTTTGGATTGAAATTGTTGGAAAAATTGAGAAGAACGTGTGATTTACTCCAATGGCTCTTAGAAATGACTTGAGAATGTCCAAAAACTACCAAAGAACATAGAAATTTGGTAAAAATGTCAGGGAAAACTCCAAATATTTTCAGATCTAGACAAAAATCGTTCAATTTTTTTCAATTCTATCTAATTCTTATAAAGTGGTTTTCGTTTGTTTTTTTCAATTATTCTCGATATCTTTTCATTTTGTATCTATATTTCCTAAATGAAAGAACCCATTAAATGCCTTCCATAGTCTCAAAATTGTAAAAATTCATAACAATTTCTATTTAACCATCTCGTCCAAATCCGTTTCCATCTGCAGCGCTGTCAATACGAAATGGAAGTGATACGAAACAGTGTGATGCAAAATCAATCGGTCAAAATGTTGGGATCGAATACGAGCGAAACATCTTGGTTGGTATTGTTCAAGCAGCCAAGAGTGTACAAACCGTTTGCGTTGCTCATCGTTCTATTTTTCTTCCAACAAATTTCCGGACCGTATGTGATCATTTTCTATGCAATCGATTTGTTTGTGAAAATTGGCGGAAAATTTGGTCACATCAACGAGTACGGCGCCATGTTGATGCTGGGCATTCTACGCTTCATTATGGCAATTTTGTGCGCTTTGTAAGTAAACATAAACACCTTAATTAGAAGTATTTTTTTCCCAGGAACTGAATCATTCTTCTAGACAGGAATTAATTCCTTAATCGACTCAATCACATATGCGTTTAATTTTAAAATAGCTTCTCCAAACACATTGGCCGGCGGAAATTTCTATTGTCATCCGGCTTGGGTATGGTCCTATGCACACTTTGCGCAGCTATTTATATGTACTACGAAAATACAGCAATTAAAAATGATTTCATCCTATTGGTTTGTGTGCTCGGATACGTTTGTTGCAGTTCGCTGGGTGTTTTAGTTATCCCGTGGACATTGATCGGTGAGCTATTTCCCATTGAGGTAAGTGATTTCTTGTTTATTTGTCGTCATCGTTGTATTTCTTTTCATTTCGCATTCTTTATGTTCCCTTTTTTTTAGGTAAAAGGAAAACTTGGCGGTTTAATCATATCCATAGCCTACATGCTGATGTTCAGTGTGGTAAAACTCTTCCCTTACATCATGGACTGGCTGGGTATGCAGCAAATTTTCTACTTATTTGCATTGAATAGTTTCATCGGCGTGTTATTTACTTACGCTTACCTACCTGAGACGCTGGGCAAAAGTTTCAAAGAGATCGAAATGTATTTTGTACGCGATCGAGAAGAAATTCAATGAAAGAAAGAAAAAAATCAATAAAGAAAATTGTTTGTAAATAGACGAAATGATAAACTGTTTGTTTTTTTTTTTTGTACTTTTTGTACGTTCAAAATGAAATTTACTATCGATCCAAAGGTTTTTCGTGTGTGTGGAATGTGTCTCCACATGGATACGTATTCATTGTTAGGCTAACAATGTCAACCATGAAAATTTACGACTGCCGGCGAAATGTATCGCTGATGAGTTTCCTTGATGCCGTAGACAGAGACGCGCGTCGTTTTTGTTTTCACTTGCAACGATTCAATTCATGGTCAATGGTGGTGAGAAACAGCGGTAAACTTGAACGAAACAAAACATACACAGCATTTTCACACCGTAAAGCAATCATGCTGCAACTTTTGACTTGTTTATTTACACATCGGTCCATAACTCTTTTCGCAGCTACTGTTTTTCTTACGTTGCTGCTTTGTTCAAATAATGAACGCACCACCCACTGTCAGCATCGGCTCATAAATTCTGCTTCAGCGATTCCAATCAATTTCAATTTGTCATTTTTCGCTTTATTGAGCTGTTGTTGCAGCTGCTACTTTTTTTTTCCATCGATTTCTATCGAATGAGAAAAATGATTATTATTTTTGCGACGATTTTTTTTTTTCTGCCATCAGTTTTAGTATATAAATTCGAATGTTTCGATGCAGAGAATGCAGTTCCAAATTGAATGTGCTGTGAAGAATATTTGGTAAACAGTTAAAATGAACGTTATTCTTGTGCTAAGTGCAATTTGTGGCTTTTTTGTGATTTCGGTCCAGGCAATCGGACCACTTGGCTCATTCGGAGTCGGTGTTGGTGCGGCAAAATGCGAACCATCCATTACGACAGCCAGTGGCACATACGCAATGCATAAAGGTAAGTTTTTGTGCAAATGAATCCAACGTATTTAGTTACTTGGATAACTCAATCAAATGATCTTTCGCAGCGAGCGGTCAGTATTGTTCCGGTGATTTGATTTTTGAAGATGCTTTTGATATTTTCGATACACGCAAATGGCAACATGAAAACACATTGGCTGGCGGTGGTGTAAGTACCTAACGATTTTTTTTAGTTAAAGATTAATCTAGTTTCCAGCGAGAGTTCGATCAGCGATACACAATTTTCAATTTTTTGAACACTTGCAACCAATTTTCCACTAGAAAATAATTTGAACAGTGTTCAATGTTCAATAAACACCATTTTACGATGAAAATTGATTTTTTTCTTCTGAAAATTCCGGAACGTTAATTTTTTTGGTCATTCTATACAGAACCATTCAACATTCAGAAGAAAAATGAATAGAAAAGTTCCAAAATTGAGTTAAAAACACACACACAACATTTTTTTTTATTCATAAATGAGACGATTTTCTCATTTCTAATTGATTCAGAAATGGGAATTCCAATGGTACACAAATAACCGATCGAACTCATTTTGTGAAGAAGGTTTCTTGCACTTGCGACCTACGTTAACAGCTGATGTTTATGGCGAGACATTCTTGAGCTCGGGCACGGTGAATCTTCATGGTGGCTCTGATGCTGATCGGTAAGTGTGTTGCAACAGTTTTTTTCTACTCTATTTATTTGCGCGTCATTTTGTGAAGCCAAAAGGTTGGCATTTCGGGGATTTTCGCGTTGAGTTTTTCTAGAAGAATACGAATTTTTATTGACAATTTTCGATTTTACCCTCCGATTTCAGATGCACAAATGAAGCATTCTACGGATGTGAACGCACTGGTTCTATGCCATTGATCATAAATCCAATTCGAAGTGCTAAAATCCGAACGCACGACTCGTTTTCATTCAAATATGGAAAAGTGGAAATCAGCGCTAAGATGCCAGGAGGCGATTGGTTACTACCAGGTAGCCAGGCTAAATTAGCCATTAAATGGCGTAGAATTTTTATTTCACGTTTTCGGACCAATAATTGAGCTTGTAATTTACAAAACAAAAAAATTGGACGCAAAGTTTGAACTAAAGCTGAATCAATGCCCATCTATGTTTCAATCACCTTCAAAAGTTTCTCTATGTTTTATGTTTTCATCAATCATTCTTTTCAATTTTTCTCTCTCTCCCGAAAGCCATTTCGTTCTTGCCAAAGGACAATGCGTACGGTGCTTGGCCATCTTCGGGTGAGATTGATTTGGTTTTGTCGCGTGGAAATCGAAATTATACGAATGCCGAGAAACACATTGGCGTCGAGCAATTTGCCTCAAGCCTTCACTTTGGCCCATTTGAATCCCTCGATCAGTATCAGTCGGCATTGTTTGTGCGAAATTCAAAGCCAGGAAATGGTTTTAACAACGATTTTCATCGATACCAAATGGAATGGACACCAGGTAAAATGTGGGATTTCGAAAAAAATTAACTTTAACTCCCTCTTTGCCTCTTCCCCAATTTCTTTATGTGTATTGACTTTTTCTTTGCCACTCACCCTTTTTAACCTGTAGACAAAATCGTGTTCAGCGTTGATGATGTGGAAACGGGATCGATAAAAGCAGGTGCTGGTTTTTGGTCGCGTGGTGCATACGATGCAATTGCACCGGGTGTGATGAATCCATGGCGGTTGGCAACGACAAATATGGCGCCATTCGATCAAGAGTTCTATTTGATAATGAATTTGGCGGTGGGTGGTAGCCAGCATTTCCCAGACGATGCAGCCAATTCAGCGAGCAAACCATGGGCAAACGACTCACCAACGGCTGCCGCCGATTTCTGGAATGCACGCAACGCATGGCTTGCAACTTGGAATTTGGAGCAAAATTTATCGCGTGATGCCTCACTCATCGTCGATTACGTTCGGGTTTGGGCACTCTAATCTCCTATTCGCCCAGAACACGGAAAGAAGAAACACCGTTTTGATACAATTACAAGATTTAAAGAAGAGAAATTTATTCGAAATGTGTGTATTTTTTGCTTACTTCAATAAAGCTGAAACTGAAACTGATTCCGTTTTGTTTAAATATATATGTTTGACATTTGCTTTGAAGAGAACTAGTTTTTACCAAGAAACTAAAAATGCAGCCCAAAAATGTTGCTCGAAATCATTTGTTTTTGGAAATGCGTTAATTTGTTTCGTAACCTAACTCAAATTCAAAGATTTCCAAATATGAAGTATACGAATTGTACCTATATTCGTTAAAGACTGAGAATGAAATACTATATTCAGGGCAACCGAAATTATTTATTTAAATTAAAAATATTTAAATAAATATTTTGGCCATTTTTGAAAATAAATAAATAATTCCCAATTTTCGAGTTTTTCGTAAATATTTTAAGGTTTTTGACGTCTTTTCAAAAATATTTTTGAGTATTTTTCAAGCAATGATAAATATTTTAGATGTAGGTAACATAAATTTTGCAATAGAACATGAGTCATATTTCAAGACAAAACATTGCAAATGCACTTTGCACGTCTCTACATGACTTTGCAAATCGAAGATAATGGAATTATATCGAATTGTCTCACTTATAGTTGATCAAAACCAAAATTGGCAATTCTGCAATATGTGCTATTTCGACAGTATTCAGTGTATACATTACTGTGTAGACGTTTACAAATTTTATTTATCAGCTGATCGAACGATCGCTTGCATTTGCAAATGTGTAGTCATCAAATAATATGTAAATAACGTTCTCGCGCTAACGAATAACTAATTGCTTCAAACGACTCGATTTGGCACTTTGAATTTCGTTCTTATTTGGAGACTGAAATAGACGCGTTCAAATTTGCTCCAATTACGTCAACCGATGTCGAACGTTCATTTTCCATGTACAAGAATGTTTTGCGTGACAATCGACGTTCATTCCTTTTCGAAAATTTAGCTAAACACGTTATCATTTTCTGTAACAACTTCGAATAATACTTCCCAAGAGAAACGGCCAATATGTTTATACGCTGTCTATTCGCCGAAAATACACTACAATATATATTCACGCTTATTGGACGCCGAATTGAATATATATTCTAGTGTATTTTCGGCGTATTATAGAATAAGGAATGAGAGAATAGAATAAGGAATGAGAGAATTCGCGAGGATTTGAATGTTGATTCGATTGATGAGGCTGCAAGAAAGTCGAGATTGAGATGATTTGGTCATGTACAGCGTATGAATGAGTTCCGTTTACCCAAGTTAATTTTGAATGCTGAAGCGAATGGTCCGAGAGGTAGAGAAGGACCTCGAAGACGGTACCACCAATTCATGCACCCAAAAAACCTACTTGTGATACTGCGATCACCATGAAACTTTCAGGATAATATTTTTCTACTAAAAAATGAAATCCTTGAAAGTTTCAGGCGGATCGTAGTAGAAATAAGGGTAACTCCCATACAAATATTCGCATTTTCATCACAAAATTGGCCAAAAATTGCAATTTTTGTATGGGAGCTATCCTTGAATCATTTCCGATTGGCTTTAAATTTTCTGGAATTTCATATTTTAGTGAAAAATTAGGATCCTGAAAGTTTCATGACAATCGCACATTCACAAGTGTGATTTTTGGTCACCATGTTTTGACGGAATTTCCTTGAACCTTCACTTTAATCTTTACATTCAAATGCCAGTTCCCAAAAACCAATCAACATATTCAGGTCATATAGCTCTCAAACTCTTCGTTTGCTCATCGCGAATGCTTTGCTTCAGCAGAAATGCCTAACTGAGTAAGAAGAGAGATTTTCAGCCAATTCGAAGATGGTCGATTCAATTTCCAACTGATTTCGTACGGAACACAGTACGGAATTTCTAAGCTGGTTTCGTCAAATTATCTGTACTGCACGGATTATATTCAGGTACTAGTTTATACGGATGCGTACGGATATTTTAATATTTATGGCGGATTTGTACAGTTTTTCAACAATTTTTGCCAGTATACGGATTTTTCGGTTCAATTTTGTCGATTTGTACGGATGTTTTCTTTAGAGGAGATAGTTACCTTGACTTAGTTATTGTGTTTGTGTTAGCAGACCTAGTGTTTTGTCAAAATCGTCCTGAGCTAAAGCTGTGGATTCAATTTTAAACCCGGATTTGGCATAAATGATGAACAAAGTGCAGACTTCTGTTATTAGTAAACAGATTGATGATGTTTTGAGATGAAATTGGCGCTGCTCTAATTTCGAACCTCTGAACGTAGCACGAACAATAGTCTAACGTTTACTTGAAATTTACGAAATTGATAAAAAAATATGACACTAATAATTTTTGAATTTTGGACATTTTATTAGCAGATTGAAAACACATTTATTGCTTATAAAAGTAAGAAAGTTTTGTCTTTCATCATTGAATTCTATGATGTTTAGTGATAAAATTCAAAGAAAATGGTAGCAACTACTTGGCTGGACGCGATGAATATAGTTTCATTTCGATCATTTGTAAATTGGTATCTCCGTGTGCGATGCTCCATTTAGTTCTCAAAAACATCCCTTCCGGAACATAGATTGTTAATTTTTGTGCCCCAAACACTTTTTGACGTACTTTGTCCAAAGTTGATAACTTCAGAATGTTTATGCAATCATCATCGTAATAACGTAATGCGAGCATCTTAAGTTCCGGTAGCCTTTGAACGATTGATAAAATACTTTCATCATTTGAATTTGCAGCCCATAATCCCTGAAGGTTCACAAATTTCTCTGGAACTAGTTTTGAATACAATGGAACGTATATTGGGAGAATTTTCAACTCTTTCAAATTGGGCAATTTGTGCAAAAATTGTTCTTGTTCCCCATTAAAAACATTCAATCTCTCAAGACCACGAAGTGAAGAAAAAGCAGCACTGAAACTTTCCTCGATTGGAAGTAGAGATTTACGAAGTATCAATTCTATATGCAATCGTCTGTAGAATTTTTGATCATACAGTTGGTTCAACACTGTACATAATGCAGCAAATGAACTGGTTATCACTAGGCCTCGAATCTTCAGTAAATCCAGCTGCACTCGGAAATTCACGATTTCATTTCGGTGGCGCCAGATGCTATCTCCTCTGGCGGAAAAGGTTCGAAGATTTGGATTCTTTTGGAAAAACAACTCCAAGCC